GCTCACTCAGGACTTCTTGAGGTAGAAATCTAAGGGTCTCAAAAGCCTCCCTTGCTACTGCCTAGGGGCTAGGTTCACCTCCTTGCAGACTAGCGACACAGTGGCTACCACTATACTTTTTGAAGAACCTTGTATATTTAGGTGACATTCTTAAGTTGCTTTAACATGAAGTAATCCCATCCTGACCCAGGCTGGGTCACCTTGCAAATTGACAAATGTCAGAAGCTCTGCCTGTTCCACTGCCCTTCTCAGCAAGCACCTGGCCCCTAGGGAAGGTGAAGGTGGCCTGGGCTCCAGATGTGCCTCTGAAGTCACTCTGGGGTAAGGCCGGCTTGTTCTTGGCTGCAGCAGTAAAGCCATCTGTAAGAACTGGTTGTCCCTGGAGGCTCTCACTGGAGTTCTGGGCTTCCTGCCATTTCTGAGCCTGAGCACCCTTCTCTGGGGAGTGCTGGGCATCCCAGTTACTACAGTTGGAGGCTTGGGAGAAAGCACTTTTCAGAACCCAGGCAGAGAAGCAATGGGGAGGCGCTGGTTTTGCTCATTTCACTGTGAACCACGACTTTCTGTTCAGGTCACATACCTTTAGGACTTTCTTAATGCCATTGATGGTGGAGGTGAGCAAGGAGTGCACCTTGAGGTCGTCATTGGTGTAGTCCGCGTGTCTGATGCACATGTAGAGGATGTATGCGGGGAGGCAGGGCACTGTGCCAGACAGCATCTGGGGCTTCAGGTCTAACAGCAATGACAGAAGAGTTAGATCTAAGTGGGACACTGGCAGTGAGAATCCAGGCCTCAAACAGAAAGGTTTGCAATATTTCCTTGTAGCTCAGCTAGGAAGGCCTCTCATGGGAGGGAGGTTGGGAGACGGGCAGGAGAGAAACTGCCCAAGGTTATGCAAATTCCTTTCAACCCTGATAGACCAGATTTTCAATACTATTTTAAAAAATAAAGACCATATTCCTCCTTGTTTGCATTATAACAAAACAGGCTCCTAATTCCCCACTCTTACAACATGAAGGAAAACAGCCCAGGAGTTACACAGAGGCTATGGACTTGAGTCAAGAAGGGGCCTGTGGCCAGGTGCAGGCTGCAGACAGGACCTGGTTCCCTTGCTAGGTGAGAATGCCAACCCCTCTTCATCCCCACTTGCTACTACAGGTACACTGGGTTCTCTGACAGTCTGAATATAAAGACTGGCCCTGGGAGAATTTGGCAAATTGTATGTGCCCAAAGACACAGCCAATCTGCCAAGGACTGGGAAGGCTGGAGCAACCTCTGGCCCATGGAACCATCCATTTGGGAAATAAATTACCTGGCAACTCTTGCCCTGCTACCTCCTAGCCAATAACCCAGCAGGCCACTGCCACTCTGCCCCCTCCCAGCCTTTTCCCCCTCCAGCAGCTCTATTCTACATCCCCTGCCCATCTCCACCCCCACTGCAGGTCTGCCGTGGCAGGACTGCTCCAGCCTGGTGCCTCATGTCTCTCTGCACCTACCCAGACACTCTCCCTCAGCCCTTGGCCCACTTCCTGCTCACACCCCCTGGCTAGATCCAGGGGAAAGCTGTCAGAGTGCTTTTTGATTCCAAGCATGCTAACAGAATAAAAGCCAACGCTTAAAACAGTGACTGATAAAGAATCTAGAGAAGTTAGAAGAAAGATCTGGTCATAACATGCAAGTCTGGGGCCCCAAGAGTGTCACTTCAGCCTCTTACTGTATCCTGGCTTTCACTCTTACCCCATCCAAGCTAAGCCCACCAACCCCTCGATGTGCAGGCAGGCAATATGCTCAAGTTTTCCACCAGAGCTGGCCCAGGGTGGGGCTGTGCTGCTAGCATCTCTAGCTGCTTCCCAGGTTTCATCATTCCCTCAAATCCATCTTTCTAGTTAGAATAATTCTAACTACAGACCATAATACTCTGGATACATGGTTAACATGCATTTTTTTTTTTTTTTTTAAGTTTGGCAGATGGCTGTGGACTGGCCCTTGGCTCTGATTTGAACGCAAGTAACACCAGAAAAAAATATCTTGTAGGCCCAGACTTTCAACCCATAGCTTTTTTCAAGCCTGACTCGTGTGCAGACTACTAGCCTTGGCATGTTCTATTGTGATGAAGCAGTTTGCTTGGGCTTCCTAACTGGATGGGAGCATCCGGAGTAGGTGGGGACCTTGACTCTTTCTTTTCTCCTCAGAGAAACAAGCTAGTGCCTTCCTGAGGCATCCATTCATTTAGATGGGGTCTTGTGGAAGGCTGATGATTGGGTTCTTTTCCTAAGCAGCTCAGCAGTAAGTGACCTTGCCTAGAGCCATCTGAGCAATGACAGCAGGAACAAGCCACCTGTCTGGCACTGTTTTAAATAGAAGTCTTATTTACTTAGTTAACTCTGACACTGTATAGTTTGGAGTTTATGGAAGAGTAAACATTCATTCCTAATAGAAGAAGTCTGCTTAAGGATGTTTAACATGAATTTTTGTTATCTTTGTCACATCTCTCACAATTATAGGGCAAACTAATCTCCATTACAGAACAAAATGTCCAGGCATAAGCAGGTTACTAAAAACAAAAACCACGAAAGGAAAGTCTGTGCTAGACACAAGTCACACTCCCTTCTCCCAGTAGCTTCAGCCCCAGGCACGGTAGCTCAGTGGAGCGGAAGTGCAATAACCTGCAATGAATTCCTGAAGAACAATGGTTTCCTCTTTCTTGAACTGATCTACCTTGCTAAAGCTGCCATCTGACTCCTGAGAAGGTTTTGCAATTGCACCATCACATTTAGCCTTGCTATACGTCACATGAGGGGATGAGAAGATGGGGGCCCCCCATCTCCATTTTACAGATGGGGACACCAAGGCACCACAAAGAAGAGAGCTCATAGCTCATGACTATGAGCTGGGCAGGCAGGTGAGGAGAGCAGCTTTCAAGAGCCTGGTGTTTCAGCCCAGAAGGCAGCTCCCCGACCAAGCCACCTGGAGTTATTCAGGCACAAACCTGTACAACCTGCAAACAGGACGCAGACCCCCCTCTCTAAGCAGCCAAGAAGAGAGACCCTGAGAGGAAGAAGTTCCCTTTCTGACTTAACGGGGAAAAGTCTGCCCTCTTCGGTAGGGTGGCAGGTCTTTCAGTCCTGAGGACGAGGCAGGCCAGCCTTGACCTTGCCAGATTCCTGAAAGGAGGAATGCAGGGACAGTACAGACCAAGCCCAGGGAACCTTCACAAAGGACCAGAGTGATCCTAGGCCCTTTGCATGAACTCGGTGCTCTTCAGACTTCAGTGTGTATATGAACCACCTGGATTTTTTGCTATGTGCATTCTAATTTGGGAGGTCTGGAGTGGAGCCTGGGAGTCTGCACTTGAAGCACCTTTTCAGGGGATGCCGCTGGTTCAGGGACCATCCTGTGAGCCACAAATCGTTAGCATCGATTCTCCCAATTCTGTGCTATTGGTGCAATCCTCTTCCCCATGTGACACCTGAGAACATGACCTCAGCCACGTGGCTAGGAAAGGCCCAGTTTGCATAAAGGCCATGTGGCTCCAAAGACTACATTCCTAAGTAAGCACAGCACTTACAAACTGCAAAGTTTTTAACAAACAACAGGAACTTAAACCTTTGATCTACTATTTACCCATTGTATGACCTGGGCAAGTTACTAGAATGATCTAGGTTTCCTTCAGAGTTAAGTGAGAGCAGCGAAGTGCCTACTTAAACAGAAGCTTCGAGGAAGCTAATGTGCACTTGGGTAAGTGAGGTGGGCTGGCAGCTCCCCTATCTCCACCCTCCACAGGCAGAATGGAGACCTCCGTTTCCCGAGATTAGGCTGCATTTTACAGGGGTCAGATTTTACTTTGGAAAAGCAATGGGTTATGATTAGAAGCAGCTGGAGACAGAGGGTGAGGAGGAGGGGGGGCAGTGTTGTGTGGGGGACACAGGGATGGGGGGTTATGTTTGAAATGGGAGTTGGGGAGGAGGGCTGGCATGTGGGGGTCTCATGGTGGGTCCTGACCTGTCACCAGGTTCCGGATGAGGAGGGCCTCGTCTTCTTTGTGGTACTCCAGCATGCCCTGGAAGTCCTTCTCTTTCCTCTGGACTGTGACCTGTCTGGTGAGCTCATGGTGCCGTCTGTCACTCTGGGCCAATGCCTGGGCAGCTGAGTGGGAAAGAAACAACAGGAAGCATGAATGGGACCTGCAGCTGAAGGCCCGTAGTGAGCTGTGCGCCTGTGGACAGAAGCTTGGACCTGGGTCTGGAGAGGGGTGCTCAGGGTTCCCAAGCTCCCACATTCTACATGATCTGTTCCTGTGGCCTCTGCCACAATCTAGCTGCGGGACAAAGGAAAGGGAAACTCCTAAAAGGGTGCTGGGCAGGCTTTGGACTAGGGTAGTGGGCAGCAAGGTGTCCTACCCTCCAGCTGGCAGCTGCTGCTTCTCTGCAATCAAGTCATAGGGAAAACCATCTTTCTGGGAAGATGTCATGACCCTGGCCAGGCCTGCTGGATTCCTTGTGTGTGACCACAAAATGGTCCTCATGACACAGTCACAGTGCAACTTTGGCATAGACAGGGGAGCAGATGTGCCAGAGTACACAGAAAGACACTGATACCCCAATGCAGAGTCAAGCTCAGGAGCCTGTGACATGCAACTACATAAGTAATGCAACTACATAAGGTAATGATTCTGGAGGAATCCCGGTGGTGTGGTTGGGGGTACAAAGGGCTTTGACTCATTCATTGCTTCATTCAGGCCTTCCCTCATTCTGATTCCTTGGGAGAGCAGTGGGCACCCAGATATACCCCCCGAGCCCACAATGGACACCTACTGCATGCAAGGCGTTGTTCTAAGTATAGGGTTAGATATGATGGATTCTCCAACCTTGTCCTTGTCCAGTCTAGCTGAAGAGATATATGTGAATGTTCACTCTAAAACAGACACTCTAAAACACAGCTTGCCAGGTGCCAGGCCGGAAGTGTGCTAATGTAGCTGGAGCCGGTAAGACCTCACAAAGGAGTAGGGGAAGGGCTGGTCCATCGGCCCATCAAACCCCACATCACACAAGTCCCTGGACAAATGGGAGAGAAGCAAAGGCCCACCCAGGGTGGGTGTTGCTCCCTGTGCTGCCAGGGGCGACTGGGTGTGTACAGGGCCAGGTGGAGAGGTACACTCTACAAGGGCTGGAGTTTCCTCTGAAGGTCCTAGGGAAGGGACAGAGGACAGATATCACCGTGAGCAGAAGCAGGGCCCGGGAAGTCATCTGGGAGCAGGGGACAAGGATTGGTCATAGGGGAATGAGCAGGGCAGACACAGAGAAGCACTGGAAGAGAATGATAGGTCTTTACGATTGAGCAAAGGGAGAGGCTAGAAGCCAAGAAACTAGGAGAATGAGAACCTGAGGAACAGAAAATGAGAAATTCAAAGATGAAGAGGGTATGTTGGCAGGTGCGAGAGACCGCCAGCTAGGAAGAGATGGCTCCTGCCTGCATATGCCTGGTGTGGGCCCCAGATGTTTCTGCCTCCTGGAGCCCAGGTGTAGAGCAGCTGGTGAATGTAAACAGGTGAATAAATGAACAAAACACCACTGGTGATGAGGGCTGTGTCAGGACATCATATGGTGATGGGCTGGTGGCTCCTGAGCAGAGGGAGGAAGGATGCAGTGAGGGATGCAGGCAGTGGGAAGCCGTGGGAGTTCCAAGCAGGGTGCACGCTTAGATTTGCAGCAGGGTCGGAGAGAGGAGAGAACATTCCCAGTGCTTTGGGAACATGACTGAGATCTCTGCCTATCCTCTCTGGGAAAAAACTCCAGACTGGTAATTTGAACTTGACATTTCATGGCACAGAATGAGGCCCCTGGGGCCGGGATTTTGTGTTACACAACATACTTTCACACCAGAATGTCTTGCCTCCAACTCTGAGCTCTCTGAAGGCGGGGACCACTAGGTCACCTTCTCAGCATCTCATTCCTCCAGTTCCACAGAGCCTTGTTCAGAGTGGGCACAAAAAGAAAGCCCCCTGCTCAAGTCATGTTTTTGGTCTGGACTCTGAAAACCGAGAATGTGTGAACCTATGCCCCCCCTCCCACACACACACCGGTGGTACTGGGGACTGAACCTAGGGGTGCTCTACCACCAAGTTACATCCCCAACCTTGTTTATTTTTTGAGGCAGGCTGTTGCTAAGTTATCCAGTCCTGTTGCAAACTTGCAATTCCTCCTGCTTCAAACTCCCAAGTCACTGCGATTATAGGTATGTGCCATCATGCCCAACCAGGGTCTGAATTCTTCCATGGCATGGCTGGCATGAGCACAGTCATTAGGAAATTGGTGACACACAGTGTGCCACAGGGCAGGCAGTCCATCCCTCGGCACTGCCAGGCACCTCTGCTTCACCACTCGTGCTCGCGCTCGCGCTCTCTCTCTCACACACACACACACACACACACACACACACTCTACCTTCTAGGTCCTGGACTTTCTTCATGTAAATCTTCAGTTGCTTTTTGAGCTTCCTCTCATTCTTTTCCAGCTTTTCTACCAGTTCTTTAAGGTCCTGAGAGCAGAAGGAATAGGATGAGGAAGGACTTGAGTCTGGCCCTGGATGAGAGGTTTATTCTTGCTGGAAGCAGAGTGGCCTAAGGGAGGGCTGTGGGTACTGTCTGAGGAGCCCTGGCCAGAAAGGCTGCCCCATGCTGGCTATAGTTCCCTGCTCTGGAGCCCAGGAAGCAGGCCATGGGTCAGACTCCATTCTCAGCAACAGGGCAAATTCCTCCTGGTTCTGGCTCGAGGGTACCTTGTGTAATCCCAGGGCTCCCCACATCACGCCTGCTCAGGTTGCTGAGCCAGCAGCCTGGGCGTCCTGGGGATGGGTGGATGGTGTCCTGGGGATGGGTGGATGGTGTCCTGGGGATGGGTGGATGGTGTCCTGGGTAGGAATGGACAGGTAGAGGTCTAGGAATGGGGGTAACTGGGACACTTGGCTGGGAGGTCATGAGTTTACCTGGGCCCAGAAGCCAAACAAGGCAGCAGCTATAGGCCCAACCCCTAGTAACTGTTGCCACTGGAAGCAAGTCCCTCAGGGACCAAGAACAGCAAGCTGTTGTACTGCCACTAACCTCATCTGATTCGGCATGGAAGGCAGAAGGCCCTAGCTCTATCACCATTAGGGCCCAGTCTGGAAACCTTACTTCTATTGACCTATGACATTCTCGCAGGACAGGGACTCTCTTCCACTTTCCTGGCATCTGCCAGGGCTCCTTCAGTGACTGCCTGCAAGGAGAGCCATCAACTCCCCCTCCTGTCAGGTGGCAAGGGCCATCCCTCACTACACCTGGCCTAGCCTCATCATTTGTCTTGATCCATAGCAGGTGACAGCGGTGATGCTCTGCTAGTTTTGAGACGAGGCCTCAAGAGGCCCCACAGCTGCCACTTGCATTCCCTGGGAAGCCAGTCGCCATGTAAAGCAGTACACAGAGAGGGAGAGACCACAAGGAGAACTGACGCCCCAGACGTGGGAATGAAGCCGTCTTAGGTCTTCCAGCTCCAGCTGACACCTTGTGGAGAAGAGGCAAGCTGTCTCCAATGAACTCTGCCTGAATTCCTGATTGACACAACAGTGGCTGCTATTTTAAACCACTGAGTAATACCAAGAAAAACAGTTATTTCATTTATCTACCATCAGCAAACAAGGGATTTCCAGAATCTATTCCCACTACAGGGCTAAGGATGTGGACCTTGTCCATCTAGCCATCCCAATCCTTTTTTCTAGAACATGACTCCCAGAGCTATGATCCACGAGGCATGGCTACTCACCAGATTCTCGTTGGTCAACCGGGATATCTCCTGCTGGACGCCAAATTCCACCTGGGCCTCTGGGGATAGCAGCAGTGTCTGGCAGAAGGTCTGCTGCTGTTTGTCCATCTCCTCCTTCAGGGCCTCCACCTGGGCCTTGAGGTTCTCCACCTGTTCCTCATGCTCCAGGCTCTGGGCCTGCAGCTGTGCCTCCAGCAACCTGCACCAAGGAAAGAGGGACAGGTGACCATGTGGTTGGGGCAGCACCCCCAAGTGAGGGGCTACAGACACATACAACAAGGGAGCAGCCAAGCACGCAGCAGCGGTTGCACATCCCCAATGGGATGTACACAGTGGGGAGACACACACCACTGAGGCCAGCAGGCAAGCAGGCTGGCCTGTCCTCTCCGATGACAGAAAACCAAGGCCAAAAGCACCCTGGGCTTATTAGCCCTTTTCCTTGACCCTGTATTTCATTCTGTGAGTAGTTTCGGATGGAGACACTGCCGTATCTAAGTCAGCAGCACAAATTTCTTATAGTAAATACAGCATCTATGTCTTCCCTAAAGTTCCCAAGAATGCCCTTGCTAAGATAAAACTCTGATAAACTAATTACATTATTTGCTCACTTTCCCTAGACTACCCACAAGTTTTAGAAAGGCAAGGGGCTAGTCTTTGGCCTATTCATCGTCATCATTACTATCTCCACTCTACCCCACATGCACATTTCTATAACGATTTACCCTTCACCCCCAAAAAACAAAACTAAGGCTATCTGCAAATGTTCTGGGGGAAGTTAAAGATTAGCCAGTGTCTGACAAGCAGACACACCCAGAGATCTGGAGAGGGTTGGGGAAGGCTCCGAGGCCAAGTCTAAAAAGTTCAATCAGGGCCAGTTACCTGGCACTCCTGGGACAGCACCTGCTCCACCCTAACAGAAAGTGAGGGATTCTGGAGGCACAGCAGCAGCCTCGTCCCCAGGAGCTGGGTGCCAACATGGTGAGGATGCACATCTTCTGGGGATTCACTACCTGAACCAGCTTTCTGACTCAGTGCAGCTGATTTTGGGTGAAAGAAATGTAGAGGGTGCTGGATGAAAGGGGCTTTGGAAAAGCTTCCTAACATGGCCTACACAGGGGAACACTCGCCCCAATCTTTGCCTGGAATGAGCAGAGCTAGGCACTGATTCAGGAGGCAGGCAGAACCCAGGGGACAGATGTGGGAGTCCCTGACTGCCTCAGAGGTAGGGAGCGGGTTGCATGTTTTTGCAGTCCTGCTGGTCTGGGAGGCAGTAAATGCATAAGAGGGAGGGAAAGATCACACTGCTGACAGAGGTAGATGGGTCAGCTCTATAGCAGCACTGGGTAGATCACCTGGCTCCCAGTGGCTCCTCAATCAAGTAACACAAATGAGGAAATGATTGAGGAATGCACCACAGGCCTATTGCCAAAAGAAAACAGCAATGTGAGGATTGTGGAGGATAGCTTGGTAATAAAATCAACATCTTAGGTGACATGCAATATTTAGATAGCATCCAACATTGGCCAAAATACACTTAATCACTAATAGGTTGTAGATTTAACAAGAGTAGAAACACCTGGTTCTAGGATGCTGCCCAGGGATGTGCTTCCTTACCTGTGCTATGTGTCCACTATTCATGTCTGCCCTATGCTCCCAGTGGATAGGGTGGACTCAGCCCAGGGTGTAGGGTACAGGATTCCTGCCCAAGCATCAAGCTAGCCAAAGGCTGAGAGAGATTCAAGGCCACAGCCAGGGGCCGGACTGGTTCTACAAGCCAGGACTCCTGATGCACAGGCCTGTGGGCTACTTCAACACATTCATCTGCTTATCTGTCACACCACATTTGACCTGCCAATAGAGGCGCCCAAGGAATGACCAGCTTAACACATGGGTCTCTATTCCAATACAACATGCTTCTGGGTGGACAGGAATCTGATCATATTGCATAATAACCAACATAATAACAAAACTAGCAGCTGCTGTTCCTTCTGCTCCACACCAAGCACAAAGATATCCACCTGCAGTCATTTTCCTTATGACCAAGTGTGGCAGGTCATGTTATGATCCACCTGTGAAGAACCTGTCACCAGGCTCACAGGTCATACAGGGCCATGTTTGAACCCAGTGAAAGGCTGCAGAGTCAGGAGACTCGCTGCCATGACAGAGCTCCACCACATTATCAGCGAAAGAAGGGAGAGGGCCACAAGAGGCTAGCAGGAGCTGAGGGCGTGGGGCTCTTCCTCCAGTTCTGCCATCAGGCTGCTGAGGGACCCAGGCATGGCACTCACAGCACCTTTGAGCATCCATTTTCTCTAATGGGAAATGAGTCTAATGCCCCATCTCTTGTTGGGAGGTGCGAATGAACAATGTGATGCCACACGTCCCTAAAAGCCACACTGGCACCGAGCATGTGACAGACCACCCCTTCACGTCATGCCCTTTCTCCAAGTCCTGAACTTTGCTGGCTAAACTATTCATCCACTGCTGAAAGCTGATGAATATCAGTTCAGCCTGGTACTAACTGAATTTTCTGCAAAACCAGCAAATTTTCTACCTAATATTCCAAGCTTCAGTATTGTTCCCCCACAAGGGCCAGGGAGACCAACTCCAAGGCACTTCATCAGCTCCAGGGAGGCCCCAACACCTGGACCAGCCACATGCTGACGGCAGGTCCTGAGGAGCCTTGTGTTAGAAGAGCTGGATCACAAGTCAGGCTGATGTTTTTGGCTGACACTGTAGTTAGGATAGTCAATAAGTAGTGTGGGACTGGGAACCCTCCCCCCCCAAGCTGGGGAGTAAACCCAGGACCTCACACATGCTACGCAAACGCTCTACCAAAGAGCTATATACCAAGCCCTTCTTTTGCTGTTTGAGACATAGCAAAAGTTGCCCAGGCCATCTTTCAGCTTATGAGCCTCCTGCTTCAGCCTCCTTAGTAGCTGGGGTTACAGGCCTGCACACCAGGCCCAGCTCTCTGCTTTGCTCTTAACAGCTGACTGCCTGCTGCCACATACGTACCTCCTAGGTCTCCACCTGTAGAATGTGGGGGTTGGACTATGTGGTTCCTGAGGCTCAGATGGGCACCCAGTGCAATCACAAGCAGCCTCCCCTGACCCCATCCATACAGCCTGGACATAAATGATAGGCAGGCAACCCCAGGGACTACTGGCCAGCAGCAACCCCAACTGTGCCCCCAAGCCCTTGCACACACTGGGCTGAAACACAAGGAGCAAAGACGTGAGCAGGCGGACAAAGCAGACACAGGAAGACAGGAGCACATTTGACCTGGCAACTTGTTTTAAGCCTTGGTAGGCCAAGCCGAGTTCTCCATCTTCATTCAAGTATCCCCAATCCTCAGTCTGGCTAGAAATAAAGGACAGAAACAGAAGTGTCCAGTGTAGAGAGAGAGGGGGCCAGGTGGAGATCCCGGGAACCAGAGGTGATGCTAGCCAAGATCTGAATACAAGAAGGCAAAGCCGGCAAGCTCCTCCTCCCCTTCCTTCTGCATTTTGGGGGCCTGCAGACTGCATCTGAGTACCCCAGGTTCCGTTACTGGCTGGGAAGGGGACTCTTGTGCTCTCCTGTGGGGCCCATTGATAATCACAGGAGGGAACACGTTGCCAAAGAGCAGAGGGCGGAGCTTGTTCTGACAGCTCTGTGAACAGCAGCGACCCAGCATCATATCCACCTCCAGCACCCACGGCACTTCCTTCTGTCAGAATCAGTTAAAGGCACAGAGACACACAAACGGGGTCAGAAGGAAAGGGCCTTGTGTGTGCTTGGGTAGCTGCAGGTGGTGAGCAGACCCTCGCTGCCAGGGAGGATATGTATGCAGAGCAGCAGGTGAAGCACCAGGAGACCAGGGGACTGCATAACCCGCCTGCTTTTCAAAGCACTTCTGTCACTCCTTAAGGGTGCAAGGGTGTTAAACAGCCTCAACTCCAGCTCTTCCTGTAGAGGCTTATGTGAAGAACTAAATCAACGTCACAGGATGAGAACAAAAGGATCTCCCCCCCACCCCCCTTGGCTTTGACCATGGGTACCTTCTCCTGTTATCTAGGGGAAGCAGGCATCTGCCTTTCGCTTGCAAGCTATTGCTGCCTCAGGTCATGCAGAGTCCACCCAAGGGCAGAAAAGGTGGTTCCTGGAGGGCAGGCCTGTCAGATGCTCCTCACCCATGTACTCCCCCCACCCCCAACTGGGCACGTGGAGATCCTCAAAGGCCGGTGGGACTGGGTGGCGGTGGATGAACAGGGACCTGCTTCCTCCACCAGGACTCCACCCCATGTGTCCTAGAGAAGCTGCACCCATACTGCCTGACGCAGAGACCAGAACCCTTTCCCGGGGGCAAACCACCCATCCTCAGGTGTGTTTTTGACTCGGGTCAGTCACTGTCCCAACCCTGTAGGTTGTGAGGTACACAACAGCCTCCTCCCCACCCTGGAGTTCAGAAGACCCTGCAGTGCTCACGTGGGCTGCCTCGTGCACAGAGCTAGTTCCATCTGCACCAGGCCTGACAGTCTGAGGACAGGCAGGGACAACAGTGGTGAGGACACTGCTGGGGACTCTCTGGCTTCCACTCCCTGGGTCAACCTCTCGCTATCCGCTTCACAGTAAAGAGAACTAGAACCAAAAAAGTTATCTTGGGGACCCCTTCTATATAGGACTTCTGCCCCCACAAATATGCTGCCACCAATAGCTTGACTGAGGGCTGATCTTTATCACCCCCCTTAGGTGTTAGCACCTGCACTTAGCAAGGGCCCTTGGGAGCAGGGCTTTCATCCAAGGGCCCACTACAGGCATTCTGGGGGGCTCTGAGGGGGACACATCAGGGCTAAGTGAAGGAACACAGGGGTCCTCTATGCCAGCCATCTCCTTTTCAGCATGTAGAAAGACACCAACCCCTGGCGGGGGTCTCAGGAGCCTCCTGCCTGCCTCTGAAGTTTTGGCTCTTATGCTGGCTGGCCCTCAGCGTAGGAAGGGGTACTGGGTCTCAGTCCTTCCACTTCCGCAACTCCCATGATGGCAGCTGCTGTCTGGGGTGGCACATGTGCGCTGCCGAGATATACCTCAAGGAAGTTAGCATTAATCCCATCACCAGCCTCATACGGACACAGAGTTCTGAATTCTGTGATGTGCTACACCCCATGGATGAAGACAAGGAGAGAACCCTGCAGCCCAGACACTGCACAGGGTCCAGAAAACCAGGCACACAGAAAGATTATAAACCAGCAAACCAAACGGAGAGAGCCCTTTGCTACTATGTGAAAGAGAACCAAATCCCCCAAATCTCCCTAGTCCTCACACCCACAGGGGCCATAGCCAGGGAAGGAGCGCCACCTGCTGGTGTGATAGGGAAGAACACAAACAGCCCAGAAACTCA